TAGATATAGCTCCCATATATAGTTTCGTCCGATTTCATGTAAATGGTGTACCAAAATCCCTATATATCCTTCGATTTGCACGAAATTTGGCATAACGTACTGAAGTGAGCCTAGAGTGATGTCTGCCAAGTTTTGAGAAAATCGGTCCAGATTTAGATATAGGTCCCATATATAGTTTCGTCCGATTTAAGGTAAATGGTGCACCAAAGTCCCTATATATCATTCCATTTGCACGAAATTTATATATAGTATATAGTAGGCATATAGTACTGAATTAGGTCCAGAATGATGTGTGCTAAGTTTCGTGAAAATCGGTTCAGATTTAGATAAATCTCCCATATATAGTTTCGTCCGATTCTATGTAAATGGGGCACCAAAGTTCCTATATACCTTTCGATTTGCATGAAATTTGGCACAGCGCACTGAATTAAGACTAGAATGATGTACGCTAAGTTTCGTGAAAATCGGTTCAGATTTAGATATAGCTCGGATGCGGGAGTTACACTTAATTATTAACAGGTGCTTAGGTATTCAAATATTATTTAGTAAACCATTACCACACTGGAGGGCGGAATATAGGGGTGATCGCTTTGAAATGCTCCATGAGGTTGCAGTTATGGTCAAGGACAACGCCTTTAATTTTCGGTGATGATCAGATAATAATTTTGGGCTGAAGTGGACCAAAAACTTATTTTTTGTGTTTTTACGAGTCGATTTGTAGGCCACAGGCCGAATAGCACAACACAACCCACGGTGAAGGGAATCTAGACAAGCACTTAGAAGGGCTGTACTGAATATTTGTTTACCTCTAGTCGGCCAAGAGGGTGCAAATATTGCGAAATATTGCTCAAGCTCAGAATATAGAACTACAGGAATTCAAATTTTCGTTGAAGTTGTGTAGGGTATCATATGGTCGGCCCCGTTCGACTATACTGCTCGGCTCACTTGTTTTTAATCTATTTTTTTTTTACTTATGGCTAAATATCCTCCGTCACTTCAAAATTTTTATTTCCGCCTCAAAAAAAATCTTCCCAAAAAAATAAAAACACAAAATTATTAAGTTTATGGCAATAAATAAATTAATTATACAACAACAAAAAAATATAAAAAATGTTTTATTATTATTAATTGGGTACTAAAAAACCGATTGGATTATTAGGATTCGAGAAATGCGTTTAAGAATCACTATTGCCGTCACTTGATGCTGACTCAATTAATCGGCTATATCTTCAAGAGTAGATCGGAATAACAAAAAATATGACACCGAGAATGGGGGCCTTTGGTGCACCTTTTACATAAAATCTGACAAACTATATATGAGAGCTATATAAAATCTGAATCGATTTTCTCGAAACTTAGCACATATCATTCTGGACCTAATTCACTACCCGGTGCCAAATTTCGTTCAAATCGAAATATATGAAGGGACTTTGATTTTCTTTTCGCGGTCTTCAAAGTCTCTTTATAGTATCCAGAGTTTTATTAAGTTGATTGAAATAAGTAGTGAATATATTTTCATTTATAATTTTGTTTTTTAATTTTTTGGTTCAACATTACAACAACATTTTTGACATTTATAAACCGATTGGATTATTAGGATTCGAGAAATGCGTTTAAGAATCACTATTGCCGTCACTTGATGCTGACTCAATTAATCGGCTATATCTTCAAGAGTAGATCGGAATAACAAAAAATATGACACCGAGAATGGGGGGCTTTGGTGCACCTTTTACATAAAATCTGACAAAACTATATATGAGAGCTATATAAAATCTGAATCGATTTTCTCGAAACTTAGCACATATCATTCTGGACCTAATTCACTACCCGGTGCCAAATTTCGTGCAAATCGAAATATATGAAGGGACTTTGATTTTCTTTTCGCGGTCTTCAAAGTCTCTTTATAGTATCCAGATTTTTATTAAGTTGATTGAAATAAGTAGTGAATATATATTCCCTTCTTACGTTTATAAATTGAAAGGCTTTTTCGCGGTTTTTCACTATTTACATTGTGTTTTCGTTGCATCGGGGGTTCACAATAATCACACAACACCACGTGTGTATACAAAGTTCAATAAGTTGTCGTTTTTAAACGACATTTAATACACATTCATATAAAATTCCATAAGTACCCACCTCAACCACCCAACAGAAATAATATAATCGATTTCATTTCCATTGCTTTCCCTTACTATATACTTCATATAATCCATTGAAAAGCTTATTTCCCCAATTTCAGGATACCAGTCTTATCGGTTCAACCAAATACAAACAGTATCAAATTTAGTACACAGTAGTACGAACCCAACCCACTTAACCCAAACATACACCCCACAGTGATCCTAAATCCAAGTTTCAGGATTCCAACTCTATTGGTTCACCCACGATTCAAATTGTACCAAATTTAGTACATAGTTGTACCAATTTGCAAAACTTCTTACATGCCCAAATCCTACACCCCCACAGTCATCCTTAATACAAGTTTCAGGATTCCAACTTTATCGGTTGACCCACAATTCAAATTGTACTAAATTTAGCACACAGTAGTACGAATTTCCAAAACATCCTACTTAACCAAACCAACACCGCCACAGTGATCCTTAATCCATGTTTCAGGATTCAAACTCTATCGGTTCACCCACAATTCCAATTGTACCACATTTAGTGCACAGTAGTACAAATTTCTAAAACTTCCCACATATCTTAATCTTACACACCCACAGTGATCCTGAATCCAAGTTTCAGGATTCCCTCTATCGGTTCACCCACAATTTAAATTGTACCAAATTAAGTACACATTAGTACAAATTTCTAAAATTTCCTACATATCTCAATCTTACACCTCCTCCTTAGTAGCCAAAAGTATTAATTTCTTAAACCGAATCCTGAACCTAATCCTACACCTCTGCAATGATCCTGACTCCAATTTTCATTGTTCCCGCTTTATCGGTTCACCCAAATCTAAATTGTACCAATTATAGTCCGATTTAGTACTTTTCGTACACATAAGTAAACAATTCCAAATTACGTACAAATCTCAATCCGACGGTAATGTTAATTTCAAATTTCAGGATTCCAGCTCGATTTGTTCCTCCGAAAAAAATTTGTACCAAATATATTACTTTTCGTACCCATGAGTCACTCTTTCAAAACAATCTCTTTAAATAGACCCTACATCTCAACCCTAATTCGCATTTCAAATTTTTAGCTCAATTCATTCACATGCTACGAAATTGTACCAAATTTAGAACTTTTCGCATACTTATAGTTCGAATGTCCAAAAAACTCTTTGCTATATATATTTTACACTCCATCAGTGACCCTCATTTAAAATTTAAGAGTTCTACCTTTACCGGTTCGCCAAATACAAATGTTATCTTATTAGTACTTTTTGTACCATTCTAGTACGAATTTCCGAATTCATTACATATATCATATATAGCATATACCTGTTACTTCGTTAGCGAATGTGGGAATAATTTAAACATATATTAACATATTATGTTATTTTCACAAAATACTGCATATGTCAGAAAAACAAATAAATCTGCACATTAATATCTACCATAAAATGAATTTGAGTACCATTTAGTACTCCGCAACCATCCAACAAACTTCCTGCATACCCCGATCCTACACCCCCACAATGATTCCAAATTTGAGAATTTCAAATCTATTGGTTCACCCACAATTCAAATTGTACCAAATTTACTACACAATAGTACCAATTTCCAAAATTTCCTACATACCCCAATCCTACACCTCCACAGTGACCCAAAATCCATGTTTCTGATTCCAACTCTATAGGTTCACCCACAATTCAAATTGTACCAAATTTAGTACACAGTAGTACCAATTTCCAAACCTTCCTACATACCCCAATCCTAAACCCCCACGGTGTTCCTAAATCAAAATTTCAGGATTCCAACTCTGTTCTGTTCACCCACCATTCAAATTGTACAAAATGTAGAACACAGTAGTACCAATTTCCAAAACTTCCTACATACTCCAATCCTACACTCCACAGTGATCTTAAATCCAAGTTTCAGGATTCCAGCTATATCGGTTCACCCACAATTCAAATTGTACCAAATTTAGTACACAGTAGTACCAATTTCCAAAACTTTCTACATACCCCAATCCTACACCTCCACAGTGAAACAAAATCCAGGTTTCTGATTCCAAATCTATATGTTCACCCACAATTCAAATTGTACCAAATTTAGAACACAGTAGTACCAACTTCTAAACCTTCCTACATACCCCAATAATACACCTCCACAGTGTTCCTAATCAAAATTTCAGGATTCCAACTCTATCTGTTCACCCACAAATCAAATTGTACTAAATTTAGTACATAGTAGTACCAATTTCCAAACCTTCCTACATACCCCAATCCTACACCTCAAAATTTCAACATTCCAACTCTATCGCTTCACTCTCAATTTAAATTGTACCAAATTTGGTACACTTAGTACAAAATTCTAAAACTTCTTACATACCCAACCCCACAGTGATCCCAAATTCAAGTTTCAGAATTTCAACTCTATCGGTTCACTCATAATTCAAATTGTACCAAATTTAGTACACATTAATACAAATTTCTAAATCTTTTACATATCTCAAGCTTACACCTCAACAGTGATCCTGACACCAAATTTAATGATTCTAGCTCTATTAGTTCACCTAAAAATCAAATTGTACCAAATATAGTACCATTTAGTGCTCATAAGTATTAATTTCTTTAAGTTATTGTAAATAAGTAAGTATTTTTTGGGTACTGTATTTAGTTATTATAAGTTTTCGGTCGGTTTTATATTACCATGAAGTGAATTAAGAAATGACAAATTAAATGAAATGAGTACACGAAAACGGCTAAAGATGTATTTTATAAAAAATATATATAAGTACTATAATAATAACATAAGCCAAAATAAATTAATAATGAATATTTTTATTCATAAAAAAACACGTTTTCAATACTTATTAAGAATAGGCTTTAAATTTAAATTAATCGTCAATAAAAATTTTACAGCATTCATAGAATTAATAAAACATGATAAAAATATTTTGAAATAAAATTATTGTAATTGTGTGTGCGTGTGTGTGAACATATCCCATACATGGGCAAGAGTATTTCATATGCATGAAAAGCTTATATCACTAAAAAAAGTAAGAAACACTGGGTCCGTGGAATGTTGTGGCGGTGACTGTGTGTTGAAAGTGGGGAAATCTGAAAAACAAGCTGTTAGAAACAGATTATAAATTAATACTAAAACTTGTTACCAAATTGTTTAATTTCCTCGAACGGCAACTTTTTTTCGCTGGTTGTCTATCCATGTTTTTAATTGAGCCGGTGTTCTTTTACATAGGCAGATATTTTTTTCTATAGCTGCTGCACATTGCTTTATGGAAGGCAACTTCTCCAAGGCCAAAATATCTCCAAATGTTTCTTTAACGGAATCAATTTCAGCACTGCTCCACCTCTTGCGTATTGTCCGTCCGAAAGGGGATGCTAAAATATTGAAAATATTGTTATTTGTGTAGTACTAAGTTGGTTAAAATACAGCTAAGTAATCAAAAATATTAAGAATTATAGTTTCTACAATTTTTACTTACTACTACGTCTCTTCGGTTTTACCATATCTGTTTCTGAATCTTCAGAGTTTTCCTCCAAACCTTCATATTGCATACTCCCTTCGTTATCAGAAACTATATTTCTATTAGAATTACTAGTTTCGATACTATTTTGCAAATTGCACCCAGCAGCCGATAATAAAATTTTTGACACGCTTGTAATTTCGGCTACTGGCACCGGTACCCTATATATGCTTTTGTGGATGTCTTTGTGGTGGCCTAAAAAGTTAGCAAGTCTATCAACCGTCGATTCTTGCACGTTCAGCAATGAGGTATATGTTGCTATGTGTTTTTCGCAGTTTTGTGCCTCTAAGTGTATCGGGAATCAATGCTCCACACTCTGATGCAAATTTTCTCAGCAAAGGACATGCTCTGCAGTAACTTTTTGCTAAGCTGGACTTACCAGGCGCACTAAATATATATGGATTTGTCTTGGAAATGCCAGCCTTTTCTCTGAATTTAAGAATAATGTTAATGGACTTAATACACAGTGGGTCGAGCAAAACGCTCACGGTTCTTCCTAACTTTCCCCGTAACGTGATTCGAACGAATTGTTTGGCGAAATTAATGGATTGTTTAGAGATATTTTCCAACATGCCAGCTTCTACACAATCAGTTATTTGTTCCTTTTTATTAAAGTTTTCAATTGTTAACCTTTCAATTTCCCCAGCTCTTCGTCGATTGAATACTTGGATAAATATTAATGTAGATTCCAAAAGTTTTTTCCAGGAAATGAAATTGTAGTTTAAGCATAATTCGGCGAAGGAATCAAGCATTATAGTTCTTAAATAATCATACAAATTTTGATATCGTTTTTACTTGGCAAGTCATTAGTTTTTGTCCTTTTCCGATTTTCGAGATCTTCCAGAGCTTTTTTGTTGATTTGTACGGGTGTTTCCTCTACCCAAAGAGAAATAAAATTGTCTAAGTTACATTTAGAATCTTCATTTTGACATTTAATAAATTCATTTCGTTGTATCCGTGCGCATTTTTTATTAAAGATGACAAGGATGTGGCAACAGCTGGCGTTGCGAATCCTTTATCAAAGGTCCACTTTGCTGTTTTTCGAAGTGCCTCAATAGCATTATCGAACAAATATGGTTTGAATATATCTTTCAATTCGGATATCTCCGGCACAATTTTCATAAATTCTATTTTAAATCTACCCAAAAGGCGCATGTTTGCTCGGATTTGATCATGGTGGTGACTTTGAGAAAGTTTTTCGGATAATCTGTTACCATATCGGATAATTAATTCGTCGAAACGTATTGCTTTGGTTATGTTATCATTTCGGAGAACAGGAAATATCGTTGTTTTCATTGCAGGACTCGCAACATGGTGTATATATTGAGTTAATTTTCGCCCTTCAATAAAATTTGATCTGGAGTTGTGTTTTTGAACACATTTCCTACTGTGTTGTCGTGATGCAAATTTTGTATAAAATCCTTTACATTTTGGACAGCATATATAGTCGTCGGCTTTTCGGTTTGTTTTTTGTTGTTGTCGTCTAGATACAATTAAAATACCAGTGTTCTGATCACTGCATGTATTGTGTATGAAATCTCCTTGTTTTCGAATGTCTTCAATTAATTTTAAACGTTCTTTGCTCAATTTGGGAAGTGCCATTGCTTGTTTAACTAGATTTTCGTTTTATGTTTTAAGAATAAATGTCGAGCAATTTTGCACTGCAATGTTTTGCAATACATGCAAAAATGTCTTTTTAGTTTTGATTTTGAAAACGGAACTCTTAACGAATCTATCTGAATTGGAGCGGTGTTAACTTCTACAATGGAACTTGTATTTACTGTTGTATTTTGTAAAGATGAATCCGGTAGGTATTCTGACACAGATTTGTCATTATATGGCATAGAGGAATCAAAACTTTCTGTAGCCAACGTACTTCTATTACCTGATGATTTAATAGCAGTAGAATTTTTTAGTCGTTGGGTTTTAAGCACTGCATTTTTAAAAGAAACAGATTCGCCACTTGATGAAGTTTCATCCCACGTTGACTCTGAAGTGTCCGACAATATATGATCACTTTGTTTGGAATGATTTTCAGATGAAGGAATTTCAATACCAGTCACTTTCGTTATAACAGGCTCCGATTCGTCTAGTAGTGTGTCATTTTTGTTACTTTTAGAGGGATTATAATCTTTCGAGTTCATCGTGCTTTTTTGTAAGACTGTAGAGTTCTTAAGATGCCCTTGTTTTTTTGCCAAACTTACGTCAAAAGCATTTAAAGAACATTCACTACCAGAATTATATATTATTTCGTGATTTCTTACATATGATGAATAATTTGAATCTTCTCCCGATGTTTCGTGATGGTTTTTATTTTGTAGTTCCATTGAATTGTCATTTATAATTTCTGGTTCTGAACTCTTCTGGACATTTGTTGTAGAATTTGGTATACATTTATTTACTTCATATGTAGGCTTTTGGTCTACATGTTTTGAGTGACTTTGTCTTCTTTTCATTCGCTTTAATTCCAGAAGTTTCTTTTTGTCATCTATAGAAAAACTTTTTTTTATTTTGCTCGTATATAATTTGTTTACATCAGATATTCAAATACTTTAAATGTTTAAGATCGTCAATAACAACAAAAGGGTTATGCGCTAGTATGCAATTAAAAAATTATTTTCAAAGTAGTGTTTTCTTCATAACAAATTTATATTATGAAATGTGGAAAATTATATATAAATTTATAAATGTTTTATCATTTTTCTGTATATTAATGACAATCTCAGACACCTTGTATTTATATTTTGAAGTAATCATATGTGTATGTAAAACATGTGTAGTGTAAATTAAATTCCAAAACGATAACGTCATGGTACTTCCAAATATAGTAAAATGATTAGTTGTGAATTAAAATTATCATCATTGTGTCGAATATGTCTACGCTAAATAACTGTTTGGGAAGCAATATATGTTTTTGTTCAATAGTGTATATGTCTTATTTTTAAAAGTAATATACAAAATCCATATATTGATTGACGAACTCACCATAAGATGCAATTAGTTTTGCAGAATAAAAACCACCTCTATATTTCACAACACAATCACTGCCTTGGAGTTGTGTTATAGTTTTTGAGTTAATAACAAAATAATCATCAGTGTCGTAAGCAACCAAGCTAAAGTTTTTAGGCTGTAAACAATGAAAATGTTAATAAAACTACGCAACAACAGTTACATCATGGGTAGGCATAGATATGGGTTATATAACATATTCCAAGTAAGGTTTTATAATCAGGTGGTTCTTGTTTGATTATTTTATTTAGAATAAGAAGGTAAATAAAAACTACTTCTTTTCTTTTCAAATATCTCTTATATGTATTAAACAAGAGAAGAACTACACATATTTGGAATCTATATATGAACCAATTTGATCTAAACTTATTGCATATCTATACCAATTCGTGCAAATTTATAACTAAATCGAATATAATTTATTTTAACTGAAAAATTGTGCAGGTTCTTGTAAAAATATATATACTAACTTACCTTTGTAACATTTCATTATTTATGGACGATGACATATTTGTATAGAATCCCTTACAGTTTCCATCGCTTGTGATGAATAAGTATTCTTTTGTTTTGGCTGTGTTTCTTGCCTTTGGCTTCGTCTTCTTTTATATTCTTTAAATTAGAAAGTTCTTCCTTGTTGTCTAGGAAATGAAACTGTCAATATAACTTTAAATACACCTCTTACATTAATTTACCGCTTTTTGCTATTATCGTTCCCAGATAGGATCCGCCTTTGTATTTAAAAATATATCCGTCCCCGTCAAATGGTTTGGTTTTTTTTGTGTCTACGACACAAAACTCGCCATAATTATATGACACTAATGAAAACATACTATATAAAACAAAAAATAAAAATATAATCGAAAAGCGATAATAATGCTGTTAATATTGATGTGAGAACCAAACTAAAATATTTTCAAAAAATTTATGTTTTAGGTTGATTTTCGGCTTCTCCTGATGCTTGAAAACATATTCTTTAAAAATTTTCGCCTTCTGTCGATGCTTGAAAATTTTTTTAAAGAATCCACGTCTTGTGTTGTTTTTGAAAATTATTTTAAAAAAACCTACGCCTTGTGTTGGTTTTATATATTTTATAATATATTTTTAAAACAATCCATCCTTTGTATTGGTTCTTGAAAAGTAGTTTAATAAATCCAAGCCTTCTCCTTGTCCTTAAAAAATATTTAATAAATCCATTGACTTGGATTTTTTTTAAGAATATTTGTTCAAGCATCAACAAAATAGATGTTTTTTTGAGAATATTTGTTCAAGCATCAACAAAAGTCGTGCATTTCTTTAGGAATATTTTTACAAGATTTTTTCACAAATATTTTTACGTATTCCTTGAAAAATCTTCTTAAAAAAATATACGCATCAAACAATATTGAAAAAAATCCTTTTTTTTTAATAAAAAAATCAAGCGTGAACTTTTTTTTAAAAATTTAAGAAGCAAAAATATTTTCAAAGACGTGGATTTATTAAATAATATGTTCAAGAGCGTGGATTTATTAAATAATATTTTCAAGGACGTGGATTTATTAAAAATGGTTTTCAAGGGCGTGGATTTATTAAAAACTATTTTCAAGGACGTGGATTTATTAAAAATTATTTTCAAGGACTAACTGAAGGCGAGGGTTTATATAAGAATATTTTTCAAGGCCAACTGAAGGCGAGGATTTATTACACAACATTTGTCGAAGGATTCTTATAAATATTTTTAATTCTTGAAATCTTTAAAAAATTCTAGCATCAAAAAATAGTTTTTAAAAAATTCTTAAAAAATCTACGTTGATGCTTGAAAAATATTTTTTCACAAATATTTTTACGTATTCCTTGAAAAATCTTCTTAAAAAAATATACGTATCAAAAAATATTTAAAAAAATCTTTTTTTAAATAAAACCAGTAAGGAAAGGACGAAAGTCGGACGGGCCTGACTATATGATACCCTACACCACTCTGTGTATATGCAGGAGGTGCTATTGGAACAACATAAACTCAAATAAAAACATAAACTAAAAACAAACTAAACTTAATGCAATTTGGACTAAATTCAGTAGCCTGTGCAAAATGTCGTTGCAATCTGACACACATTGGGTTTTCGTGCACTATATAGATGAAATCGGCCGAAAATAGATATGAGAGCTATATCTAAATCTGAACCGATGTCAACAAAACTTAACATATGTTAAAATATACTCAATTTGGTACGTTGAGCAAAATTTTGTCGCAATTGGATAAATATTGGGGTGTGGTGCACCATTTAGATGAAATCGGGCGAAATATATATGGGAGCTATATCCAAATTTGAACCGATTTTAACAACTTTTAACATACGTTATTCAAGGCTCAATCTAGTGGGTTATACAAAATTTCCTCGCAATCGGACAAATTTTTTGGATATTTTGGACCATCCGATAAATATTGGGTATGTGGTGCACCATTTAGTTAAAATCGGGCGAAAATATATATGGGAGCTATATCTAAATCTGAACCGATTTCAACAAAACTTAACATATGTTAAATATTGGGTATGTGGTGCACCGTTTAGATAAAATCGTCCGAAAATATATATGGGAGCTATATCTAAATCTGAACCGATTTCAAAAGAAAATAATTCACGTCATTCTAGATTAAAATTTGATTCGCTGTGAAAAATTGCGTCGCAATCGGAAAAACATTGGATCTTTGGTATACTATCAATTTCAATAGGGTTCGTCCTTGGGCCAAATAAGCAGGCTCGCCAAATTTCAACTCATTCGGACAATAAATGCGACCTGCATCAGTTCACAATAATACATGGACAGACGGACGGACATGCATAAATCGACTTAAAACGTGATTCTAAGTAAATCTGTAAAAGCACCTATGGGTCTATCTCGTCTATTTGTGCATGTTACTTACAAATGCACAAAGACATAATACCCTGTACCACAGTGTGGTGTAAGGTATACAAATCAAGCATCAACAGAAGGCGTGAACTTTTTTAAAAATTTAAGAAGCAAACATCAACAGAAGCCGTTGATTTTTTTAAAAAAATGTTTTCAAGGACGTGGATTTATTGAAGAATATTTTCAAAGACGTGGATTTATTAAATAATATTTTCAAGGGCGTAGATTTATTAAATAATATTTTCAAGGACGTGGATTTATTAAATAATATTTTCAAGGGCGTGGATTTATTAAAAATTATTTTCAGGGACTAACTGAAGACGAGGATTTATATAAGAATATTTTCAAGGACCAACTGAAGGCGAGGATTTATATAAGAATATTTTTCAAGGACCAACTGAAGGCAAGGATTTATTACACAATATTTGTCGAAGGATTCTTACAAATATTTTTAAATCTTGAAATCATTAAAAAATACAAGCATTAAATAATAATTTTTAAAAAATTCATAAAAAATTTACGTTAATGCTTGAAAAATATTTTTAAAAAATACTCGCCTCAGTTGATCCTTGAAAAATATTCGTTAAAAAAAGATACGCTTTCAGTTTGTCCTTGAAAACTATTCTTTAAAAATGTTCGGTTTCTGTTGATGCTTGAATAAATATTAAATAAATTAAGTGTTGGTTCTTGAAACTTATTCGTTAATATATCCACGCCTTCTGCTAGTCCTTGAAATTATTCTTTAAAAAATACACGCCTCAGTTTGTCCCTGGAAAATATTCATAAAAGAATACAAGCCTTAGTTGGTCCTCGGTAAATATTCATAAAAGTACAAGCCTTAGTTGGTCCTTGGAACATATTAGTTAATAAATCCACGCCTTCAGTTAGCTCTTGAAATTATTCTTTAAAAAATCTACGCCTTCAGTTGGTACTTGAAAATAGTATTGCAGAAAAATGTATTTCGATTCAAAGCAAAATTAAATGACACATATTTCAAATCCAATGAGTTTGGTCGTAAGGCACTCGAATAAGTTCGTATAGAATAGGTATGTCTGGGTACTTTTCCAGTAATATTTACTCAGTAACTTCATTTGAGAGAGTAAGGGAGAAAATACTTTTCCAGACAAAATATTACAAAAACAAACACATAGAAAATTGTTTTTGTATGCAAAGCTAGTGTCAGTTTGATATGTCGTAAAATGCAAACAAAATACACAAAATATCAAAAATTTTATTTATTTTAAAAACATATATTTTTGGCATTTACACAATAAAATTTAAAAACATGAATGAAAATCTTAAAAATTCGTAATTCTGTAGCTTCACCGTCATTCCTCTGATTAGGACATTTCCAGCGATATGTGCAAATCTTACCAAAATGCTGGTAATCGGCAATAGTTCAATGAAATGGGATTTGTTGCTTCAAACGTTCCCAGTAGGGAATAGAAGTAAATTTTATATGAATGGGCATTGTGCTGCCGTTGTGATTTTTTTATTCCTGAATTTTATTCTACAATAGATGAAGCCCACACCAAGAATTCCATCCGTTAAAACGATATCACAACACATGTAATTTTTTGGTTTAGGGGCCGCCCTATTTATGTATGTATATATTTATACATATATGTAAAACAAATAAATCCTGCGTTATTTATTAATTTTTTTTTTGTCTGGAAATGAAAATAAATTTCTGATACAAAACAAGGCGTGGATTTATTGAAGAATATTTTTCAAGGATCGACTGAGGCGTGGATTTATTGAAGAAAATGGCCTTAGTCTAGTTTAGGCCCCTCGAGGATGGTTTTTAAATTTTTATCACATGGGGTCCTAATTACGACTGGGTCCTGATTTTCAATGGCAAACTGAAGGCGTATATTTATTGTATATTATTTGAATAAATAATGAAATAATAATGAATAAATTAAAAAAAAAAATCCACGCCTTGGCTCTGTGGTGCACCACTTAGGAGAAATCGGCCGTAAATATATATGGGAGCTATATCTAAATGTGAACCGATTTCAACAACTTTTAACATACGTCATTCAAGGCTAAAACTAGTGTTATGCAAAATGTCGTCGTAATCGGACAAAGTTTTTAGGCATTGGTACACCTTTTAGGTATAATCGGGCGAAAATATATGGATTTAGATTTAGATAAAGTCTGAATAGATTTCAGCAAAACTTAACATATGTTATAATATACTCAATTTGGTACGTGGAGCAAAATGTTGTCGCAATCGGATAAATATTAGGTCTGTGGTGCACCATTTAGATGAAATCGGTCGAAAATATATATGGGAGGTATATCGAAATCTGAACCGATTCCAACAAAACTTAACACAGGTCATTCTAGGCCCAATTTCATCCGTTCTGCAAAATCGCACAAACAAAATTTATTTCACGTTATTCTATATTAAAATTCGATACTCTGTGCAAAATTACGAGGCAATCTGACGAACATTGGGTCCTTGGTACACTATCGTAAAATCGGACGAAAATATATATGGGAGCTATATCTAAATCTAAACCGATTTTCACCAATTTCAATAGGGTTCGTCCTTGGGCCAAATAAATAAACTGTGCCAAATTTCATCTCATTCGGATCATAAATGCGACCTGCATTTTGTTAACAATAATACATGGACAGACGGACGGACGTACGGACATGCATAAATCGACTTAGAAAGTGATTCTACGTATATCCTCAAAAGTAACTATGGGTCTATCTCGTATATTTTTGCATGTTACATACAAATGCACAAAGACATAATAGCCTGTACCACAGTGTGGTGTAGGGTGTAAAATGTCAATGAGGCAGGCCTGGTATAACTGATTGTACCCTCCTCCATTAGAAATCTTAAAAAATCCAAATTTTAATGGTATGAATAGATTTTAGCTATTTAAAAAATCTTATGAACCTATATTGGACGAAAGGTTCTGTCAAGAAGTCGATGACAAATTTTCTTGATTCCGGTAGTCAATGATCAAAATTTCTTAAACAAATTGTAGATATCTGGTATACATTGAAAAAATATATTAACATATTGCAGGAAGCATGTAGATGATGACAAAATATTTTTATACCCTACACCACACTGTGGTACAGAGTATTATGTCTTTGTGCATATGTTTGTAACATACAAAAGTATTTTTTGTTTAAATTTATAATTTTTCAAACTTACCAGATATGACTGACATATATACCCAATAATTGCACTAAATCTCGGGTTAAGGCTTGATATTCGATTAACAAATTTTCAAAATTGTTAAAAAAATTGCGAAGTACAAAATTTGGACGCATTTGGATATTCCGTTCGCTTCATATAAGATTTATAAGTTTCCAAAATATTGACCCTTTGTGGGGAAGGTACTGGAAAAGTGGGCCGATATGTCCCATCTTCCCACATTATACTAGTTTGGTTAAAATATTAGCTTGCGCAAAGTTTGGTTCAAATCGGATAACCCTTTCGCATGATGTTATAAAATTCATATTCAGCAAAATTGTGACTTTTTGTGTGTGGGAGGTACCAGGAGTGGACCGATATTCCCCATCTTTGAACTTGATTCAAGTTTGGAAGAAATATTACGATGTGCAAAGTTTGGATGAAAGTGGTTACTGCCTTCGAGAGTTATCGTGCGCACCAGCCAGCCGGACAGGCACACAGACGGACGGGCATTTGTAAATCGACTCCAAATTGTCTGAAACGGATTTGGTCCAAAGGAACATGGGGTCTTAAACCAATATTTCAATGAGGCACATTTTTGTCGTAATAAAGTGTATATACCCTCATAAGCCTTAAGGCTGAGGGTATAAAAACTGACGTCTCTGGTAGTCTCTGATAAAATATTCCTAAAAATTTAATAGGCTCCTAGTAGTCGATGAGAAATATTCTTACAAATTTGTAGATATCTGGAAGGAACTAAAAAAAACATTCTTAGAATGTTGTAGTCCATAAAAAAATATTTTTAAAAAATTGAAAGTATCTGGTAGTAGCGGAAAAATATTATTTAACAATTATATGCCTCCGGTAATCTATAAAAATATTCTTAAACAATTCTAGGCCTCTGGAAGTCGATTAAACAGATAGTATTAACAAATTGTAGGCATTAGATAGTCGCTGAAAAAATATTTTTGGAGTAAATATATACGCCATAGAATGCAAATGTTATTTTTCACACATAAGTCGAGGTCAATTGGACCCGCTAAATATTGACCGATCATCATGAATTCAGCTATACTTATTCGTTGACCATATCCCCTTCTCCGAGTAAAATTCCGTTATGTTTGGGTCATAATTGTGGCCTCTGGAGCGACCAGAAAAATAGACAAAAATAAACTTTTTGGTCCATTTGAACCCCAAAACATTAACCCATCATTACCAAAAACAGTAGGGGTCTTCTTTAGCCAATACCGGAAATACATATTAAATTTCGTGATGATTGGTCCATAACTGTGGTCTGTATCGTGTTTACAAATTATAATAGACAGACGGACGGACGGACACACATGTCTAGATCGACTCAGCTAGCCGAGATATGACGATCGATATGCCAAAAGGTGGGCCTAGGACCAATATTTCGCGGCGTTACAAACTTTTGGGGCCGCACAAAGCTATTATACAACCTAGTTGTGTAGGGTATAACTATATCATTGTCAAAGTTCCATCTCTCACTTACCAATTCAGTAAATCTTGCAGCGTAATTTTATACGGATCCTTTGATTTGCCATATCAAATATTTCATATTTTAAATCTTCAAAATTGACCGCCACAGCATTACATGCCCGAATTTGTTCAAGAATACCACTAAAGAAATAATGTAATGTTTGGACAGTCAAATAGCCATTGTGCTGGACATCTAATATGCGAAACAAATAATGTAACGATTGTAGTTCATGACGATTATGCAAACACAGAACGAAATCTAGGAAGGTATTCACCATCAAAGGTACGACATTCATCAAAAGACTATACCACCGTACAAACTTAGAAACTCTGAACTGAATAGGGGGTAACCGGAATGGCATTGCACTTTGGCAAACAGGCGACATTGGCAGTGGCAGCTTGCACAACTTTCAAGTAGTCGTTGTAACTAATCAATTGCTGACCCATTGGTGTCACTTGTGCACAATATTTTTCCAATATCGACCACAACGTATTCAATTCCTCATTATCCAGCAGTTCTTGTGACGTTTTTGCGTAGGTTTTGCCTTAGGGTTCATGGAAAATTTTCGGTACAGTTCAATATGTTGGATGGTTAGGATTTGGTTTTCCATTTGCTGAATTGGATTTATTGGCACCAGCACATCCACCACTGCTGCTGATTTTGAGCGGTGCATTTTCATCAAATTTATGCATTTCTTCTTCGCTGGGTTTCTTTGTTTACACTTAAAGATTTTCAAATGCTTTAATATTATCCGGATGCAATTCAAGTTATTTTTGTAATTTAATAGAAATATTAAATGTGTTTTTGTTTGTTTAAGAATTCTTTTACACACAGATATTTTATCTACAACTTTATGTAAACACAGGCTGTTACTATCAATTGTGTGATCTCTTTGAAATTGAATAGAGCGGGGGATTACTCTCTTGGTTTGTCAGACACATAGCCCATTTAACAGGTCATGTAAGGCCCATTTATAAGGTCAAACAGTAAGACCAGATGATTTCATCAGTGCTGTCAAAATGCGTTCTATTTTAAATTAATCGTTTGAAAGCGTAAACAACGAATTTTACATTACGGGGGTATTTCAATCAAAATGGAAGAAAATATTCGCTTCTTACATGATCTGTTATATGAGCCTTGAGGTCATGTAAGAAGAGAATATTTTGGTCTATATTTTTTCAACTTAGGCGTGGATTTATTAATTTATTTTTTCATCATATACGTGTTTTTTTTAATGTTTTTTCAACGTAGGCGTCTAAAGAGTGAACCATTATGATAATTTTTGATAGTGATAATTGCGGCCCAACAAGAAACCAAAAACAAATTCGGTTGAACAAACTTCCAAAAATACCGAAAATTTGGGGCTACCGCTATATGCAGCTTTACCAAATCGTGGACCCAAAAAAAACCTTTTTCAATACCAAACATCCCAGGAGTAGTATATATGTTCTTTCTTTAATCTTGCGAGCGATATCGTGATTTTAACAGACGGAATATATACCTTATGGGGTCTTTGGAGAATATTTGAAGGTGTTGCAAACAGAATGACAAATTTACAAAGTTATACAAATATAATATATATGTCTGTTCCAGAACCTGAAAGAATGTAAAATGTTTTACTACGATAAGAATTTTTCCTTTATGACATCAAAAATAGTAAAACATAGTACATTCTTGCAGTACGGGAAGAGGCCAATAATATAAAATATTTTACTCACCTTGTATAAAGAACAAAATACCAATGGTACGCCGATAGTTGATGCTTGACTTGATTAAATTCAAAGAAAAATTTTCAAAGGTCCGCTAATTTGTCTGCGAAGTTAAAAATCCAATTTTATGGATGTGCCAGACATGTAATCTTTCTAATCTTGTTAGAATTTGTCAGGTTTTCTAGTGAGGATAAATCTCGTCCTATCAAAAAGAAAATTGATTAAATCACAAAAAGCAACGACAAAAATTGTGTATTTTTTTATTTTATGGCTGCTTTAAATGTATGTCTCCTCTTTGTAGGCTTGTAACTTTGCAAATATATATATACATATGCAAAGTTATAAATTGACATAATTTTTACAAAACAATTTGTTTGTTTACCACCAGCCGTCAAAATGTCGTCAACATTTTCAATACAAAATATAATATAAAATATAAAACGTTTACTTACCTTGTAAAAAGAAAAAAAAATGCTAATAGCACAAAATAGAAAGGTACGCCGTTGATGCTTGAATTGTATCGTTGCTGCTTGAATTCAAAATGATTGTTGATGCAGGTCAATTGATTTTATTAACCGGTAGCCATTTACGATTGTGACTACTTTCGACTAATAACCTGTAATCATTTACACATTAAAGCTTCATAATATGAAGCACTGTATCGATTTATCTTGTTGGAATTGTTCAAGTTTTCTAGTGAGGATAAATCACCCCCTCTATCGAAAAGAATATTTACAAAATCACAAAACGCAACGATAAAAATTATGTAAATTTATTTCTTATATTTGCAAAGAAGATATATAAATTAACATTACTTATTATAAAACAATTTGTATATTTACCACCAGTCCAAAAATTTAATAGTACGTTTACATTGTACCGGATTCCGTAACCAAGTGGGTTTAAATTGTTATATGCCAAATAAATCCCCATAATGTAGGTTAAAACCATGGCATAATTATAGAAGGTAGTTTCATTAAAGATATCGGTATTGGCAGCGCTTTTTAAATTTGGAAATCATCTATCATTTTCAAATAAATTAAAAAATATTACCATAAACTTTTGTGCACGACCAGTGGCATATTTTTAATATATTTGAAACATAATATTGTCTAACAGTTCCGCGTACTTTTTCTTGGATAAACCATTTTAAAATTACAAATACTTATGCTTATTACATATATACATATGTATATTATTATATAATGATCATGAAATTCAAAATTTGTAACAAAAATACTTCTTGCCACTGAGCACATGTTGTGCGTACATTTCGAAGAAGAATATTTCCATTTACATTTTGAAAGCAGAATGTTGTCAAAGTCAAATTTATGAAAAAATTGTATTCGTATGTTGGCAAAGGATTACCTTGTAAGTGCCGATTAATATACAAAATATGAACCGTTTATATGCCTTGTAAAGTCGAATGCCACACTAAAGTGATTTCATGAAACAAATTACACGAAATTATGAGTTCTTAGATCGAGTTCCTCAGCTGAACATTTTTTTAAATTAATGTAGTGCTGAACTCGATGTAAGGTCGCCTACTTTATCATGAAATTACTTTAGAGGGCATTTACATTGTTCTGGATTTAGAAAATTCAGTGGGTTTTAAAAAAGTTCTAATGTACATTCTGTTTTAGTGTGACAAAAAGAAAAAAATAGCCAATATATTTATTAGCTAAACCATTGCAGCATTTATACCCAACGTGTTTAATGATTAATCGTCATTTAATCATCATTTGGATAGTCATATCGATAATGTCATTTATTAAATCACAAAAAGCAACGACAAAAATTATATTTTGTTTTTCATTTTATGGCTGCAGCGAGGAATTTATGTAAATTTACGCTACAAGCCTACAAAGAAAAAAATGCACATATTTTTTTACAAAACAATTTTTTCGTTTACATCCAATCCATAAGAAATCGTCATTTAAAATCAAACAAGTAAAAACGCCGTTAAGTTCAGCCGAGCCGAACTTATTAACTCGCCACCATGATCTGGACATTAAAAGTACATGTAATCGATCGGTACTTTTATATATATCGTTGGTTGTGCCATGGTAATTTTTTGATAGGACGATTTGACACACGGCGAGAACGAAGTTACAGCCAATTTGCATAAAAAACGGGGCCATAATCCTCAAAATACCGGTACCGCTATATTGGGGCTGTCGTAAATTTTTATATGATATTTTTTGTGGGAAGATTTGCAACCCTATCTAAATTCAAAATACCGAATTACAATCAATTCGATTGAAAGTCAATTCGGGCTATCTTATAAAGTAGATGAACATTTATAATTCTCGCTTCAAAGACTTACCAAAAATCTTCAAACGTTTTTAATTTTGATTTGCCATTTGCAAACATCAAAGACATAGAAACGTAAAGACTTGACAAAATGCATTTTGGAAAAATAGTTTATCGAAACATATGTAGGGGGCTTCTGGCATAACAGAGGCATGTAAATAATAAAAACGCGAATAAGAGGGAAAAGGTGCCCCCTACATATGTTTCGATAAACTATTTTTCCAAAATGCATTTTGTCAAGTCTTTACGTTTCTATGTCTTTGATGTTTGCAAATGGCAAATCAAAATTAAAAACGTTCCAACTGCTACAAAGGAGGAAGAAGAAAAACTTGACAATAACGAAGGTACTTAAAGTGAAGTGACGATTAGGGTGTGGCAGTGAATCAAAGGAGCTTAAGCAAACAAATGAACCCTTCGAAAATGCTTGGGCCATGAAAATACCAGCCTTCAAGCCAGTGGATAATCCAAATGGACTGGTGGAGGAGAGTTAATTTGCCACACTATTCCCGAAATATCGTGAGAGGTATTTGAAACAAGTCTGGCCATTGGTACAACAAGCTGTTGCTGAATATTATCTGAAAGCTGAACTGGATTTAATTGAAGGCAGTATGGTGGTGAAGACAACACGTAAAACCTGGGATCCCTACATTGTCATCAAGGCACGTGATATGATTAAGCTAATGGCTCATAGTGTACCCTTTGAACAGGCCAAACGTGTGCTACTGGACGAGATTGGTAGAAAGAAAAATTCTTCAAAAGACATCAACGTTTAATTGGTCCCAGTGGTGCCACTTCGAAATCCATTGAACTTTTAACTGATTGTTATGTTTTGGTTCAAGGTAACACGGTCTCGACATTGGGTCCCTATAAGGGTCTACAACAGGTTCGTGATATTGTCATCGATACCATGAACAATGTGCATCCCATTTACAACACCAAGGCAATCATGATCAAACGGGAACTTATAAAATATCCAAAATTGGCCAATGAGGATTGGTCGCGTTTCCTGCCCAAATTCTAGAACAAGAATATCAGCAAACGTAAACAAACCAAGGTTAAGAAACAAAAGAAGGAATACACACCATTCCCACCGGCACAACCCGAAAGCAAAATCGATAAACAATTCTTCGGCTTCGGCTGAATATTTCCTTAGCAAAGAACAGAAACAACAACGCAAGCAAGAGGAGGAGAGTAATGCCAAACGATCTGAGGCTGCGAAGAAACAAGAAGAGAAACGTCAAAAATAGTTTATCCCGCCTACAGAAGATTCACCGTCGTCAGCGGCAAAGAAACGTTCCGCCGATGGGCATGATAATAAGTTGGAAGTTAAGGCGCTTAAAGCCAAGTTGGCCAACGCTAATAAGAAAATGAAAAAGGCGTAGTATAATTAAGCTTTTCAAAAGGATTTCTTTGTAATCGTAGTATTTAAGTTTTATACCTTTCTTATTACATGTACTTTAGTGGAAAATAAATAATAGAGATTTTTTACTGTTTGTGTAAAGAATTGTGATTGAGGTGAATTTTATTTGAAGAAGGATAGTAGATAGAAATTGGAAATATTGTAATTTTTGTAAAAATTGGCTTCGTATATGGAATGATTGATTATTTTTATACCCTTCACCACACTGTGGTACAGGGTATTGTCTTTGTGCATATGTTTGTAACAGGCAAAAGGAAACGAGATAGACACATGGTTCCTTTTGAGAATATGCATAGAATCACGTCTAAGTCGATTTATGCATGTCCGTCCGTCTGTCTGTCCATGTTAAATTGTAAACAAAGTACAGGTCGCATTTATTATTCGAATTGTATGAAATTTGGCACAGCTCAGTCATTTGGCCCAAGGACGAACCCTATTGAAATTGGGAAAAATCGGTTCAGATTTAGAAATAGCTCCCATATATGGCACAACGTACTTAATTAAGCCTATGAGGTGTGCGAAATTTCGTGAAAATAGGTTCAGATTTAGATATAGCTCCTATATATATATATATTCGTCCGATTTAAGGTAAATGGTGCACCAAAGTTCCTAATATCTTTCGATTTGCACGAAATTTGGCACATCGTACTGAATTCAGCCTAGAATGATGTGTGCTATGTTTCGTGAAAAGCGGTTCAGATTTAGATATAGCCCCCATATATATTTTCATCCGTACTGAATTGAGTCTAGATGTGTGCTAAGGAATTGAGTCTAGAATGATGTGTGCTAGTGTGCTAAAAAAAATCGGTTCAGATTTAGATAAAGCCCCCACGTATATTTTTGTCCTATTAACACGAAAATTTGTACACCTCATTCTAGGCTTAATTCAGTACATTGTGCCAAATTTCGTGCAAAGTACAGGGCAAAATTATGATCCGATTGATATGCAATTTGGTAAAGCTCATTTATTTGACCCAAGAACTAGGGTTCGTTCGTTGAAATTGGAGAAAATCAGTTCAGATATACCACTCATATACATTTTCGAACGATATGGTATAAATGGTAAACCCAACCAACATCCAAAGTTTGTTCGATTAAAATTTATTTAAATCGGAACTGATTTCAACCGATTTCAACAAAGCTATATTAAATGGTTTGGTATGTATATGACCATTTATATTAGAACAAATTTAAAACATGTGGTTCAATTGTGTAGCTGTGTACATTTTCGTTTCAATCACAAAAAAACTAGGTATCTGGTACACCATTTAGATGAAATCAGTCTAAAATGTATGTAAGAGTTGTATAATACAGGTGTTGGGCAAATCCTCCTTCAAAATTATAGATATTGGTCCACTTTTTGTGGTAAGAGGTATTATGTCTTTTTGCATATGTTTGTAACAAGCAAAAGTTAACAAGATAATGTTTAGTTACTTTTAAGAATATACATAGAATACGTTTGTCTTCTGTCCGTCCTTGTTAAATTGTAAAAAAAGTACAGGTCTAATTTATGATTCGATTGAGATTAAATTTGGTAAAGCTTATTTGTTTGACCCCGGAACTAGGAAATTGGACAAAATCAGTTCCGATCTAGATATACCACTCATACACATTTTTGTCCGATTTGATATAAATGGTAAACCCAACTTCCAAAGCTAGTTCGATTCATTATAGGCTCAATTTTATACGTTGTGAACAATTTCGACTTAATCCGACAAACATTGGGCCTTAGTGCACCATTTAGGAGAAATCGACCGAAGATATATATGGGAGGTATATCAAAATTGGAAACGATTTCAACAAAACTTAACACATGTCATTATATGCTGAATTTGATACGTTGTGCAAAATTTCGTCGCAATCGGGAAAAATTTGCGTTAATTAGTGCATCATTTAGGAGAAATTGGCCGAAAATATATATGGGAGCTATATCAAAATCTAAACCGATTTCAACAAAACTAAACACACGTCATTATAGGCTCAATTTGGTATGTTGTGCAAAAATTCGTAACCGGAGAAAGATTG